TGCCCTACTTCCCACGATTGAGGGAAGGGGGTTAGTTTTGACTGTTGGGCAGTCGGAGGAACTACTAATTGCACAGTTTCTTTAATCAGCTCTTCAGCTTTGGGTGAGGGAGCAAAATTCCAACAAACCCAATTTGTGCTTCTGGGGGTGTTACAGGCTATGACACCAGCTTTAGTGTACTGGTAGCTTTGTTTTGATAATCCAGCAAAGTATAGCTGGCCATTATGGGTGCAGATATGATTATCAGTATAACAAACTTCTGGCTGGGATGAATAACGATGGAAAACCTTTAAGTCTGGCCAGATAGTTTCTATACATTTACATGCTGGGTATGGGGGGGAAGCGGTAGATACCCAGATTAGGTAGAAATACATACATGATCAATGGGGACAACTGTTAATTCTACAACAAATAAAGTTACAAATGGTTTAGCAAGTATAAAGGTTGACAAAGCAAAACAAAGGCTTATCAGTAATGTCCGCTGGGTCCTTAAGCCGAATTCTCAATCTTCTGCCATGCGTCGATCAATCAGCTTCCAGTGTGTGAAGCAGGGCCTGAAGTATCCTCACGCTTCCGGAGCAGGACTGGATAAATTAGTTCCACGTTCTTCGTTGGACTCCGCGACTTTCCGAATGGTCAGCTTAAGGGGTGTTGCTGAATCTGCCATGCACTCCCAGTCCTGGAAACCGGCTTAATTCTGCTATAATGGATCCAAGGAACTACTTCGGCTACTTTGACTGCGGTCGGGGTAGATAAAAGAATAGTGAATGGCCCCTCCAGAGGGACTTTAGGGGTTGTACATTCCACTCTTTCACCCATACCATATCACCTGGCTTAAAAGAATGAGCATCGGTAGTTAAGCTAATTGGCAATCGTTCTCTGACTTGACAATGGATGGCATTTAGGACTGAACCTAAGGCCTGCATTTGCTGTTTTAGGGTAAGACTTCCTAATTCCTTTAAGTGTCCCTGTATGCCTTTAACAAGAGGGGGTGGCCGCCCATAAAGAATTTCAAAAGGCGAGAAGCCAGTTCACTTTATTCAAAGACCTGTTTCTGGGCCTTTCCCCATAGCAGGGGCTTTTGTTCACCCCCCTTTGAGACTTTATAGAGGAGTTTTATCATGATAGAGAAGTTAGGTATTTAAATTCTGTAGACTAGTATAGGAACAGGACCACCCTTAGGATCCTTCTTTCTTTTCTTACAGTTGTTGGTTGGGTCCTTCCTTTCTTCAATTTTTAGCAGCACTTACTCCCCTTGGGATGTTTGAGTTTCTTCTGGTCCAAGAAGCATCTAGGGAAATAAGCTCATAAACTGTGATTAAAATTTGCTTCAAATAGACATTTTCTTATGAGCATTTACGTTTGTGGCCCCCCTTTCCTTAAGAGGCCTACCGTTAAACAATTTCAAAGGTTTAACAAATTCCATTTCAGGGACTTTGATCCTGAGTGATACAATACCAAATACCTATGTTTAGTTTACTCATGTCTCCAAAGGATTTCTAGTGATTATTATGCTAACCCGCAAACTGAAAGATTGTACTGTCCTAGTTTTACATCTGATGGAGTTTTCCCTGGATTTGCCAAGGGGTGGGATAGGTTGCTACTCGGCCTGCAGAAGAAACGTTTGAACGCCTTTTAAAACCTACCTGTAGGAGATTTATTTATGTCTAGCCTGTGCTAGCTACCCTGCCTTAATTACTTATTCTTTAGAGATTTTTCGATCCTATAATCATTTGGTGTGCTGAGGGGTGAAGGTCCATCTTCTGTAATTTCTTCAGAGCTGATAATGGGCACAGTTCTGCCTAGCCAGAGATCGAAAATCTCTCCCTGTCTGACTTGAGGTGTCCAGATTTGTTTCAGCAGTGGCAT